CTGCGGGACCATCATCACGCCGGCTGGGGACACAGGGCACTCGGGAGCGTCAGGTGACACGCGTGGGTGCCCCGCCACGCACGGGGCGGCCCCCGATCGAGGCGCTCCGCGGGGCACCCCGTGGGGACGCAACACAAGGCAGTGGTCACACCGACCGTCCACACCGCAGACTCCAGCCCGATATCCCACAAACACATCGATAAGAGTGTGCCCTGTGCCCCTCACAGCCCGGGCCCAGGCCCGGGGTGCCCCATCTCCTTCGGGCAAGGCTCAGCGAGAACTTGTCCCCATGTCCCTCCCCCAGAGGCTGGGGCACAGACAGCCGTGCGCAGGACGCGTGCCAGGCCCCAAGCCTTGCAGAACCCTGAACTTGCTCGGTGTGCGTGTGTCTGTGCGTCTGTGGGTTCTGCGCATCTGTCCCTGTGTGTGTGTGTGTGTGTGTGTGTGTGCACTTCTGTGCATTCATACATCGATTGCAGTGCATGTGCCTACGTGTCAAATGCATGACACATATATGCATCTACGTTGGTATGTCTGCGTTCTCACGTTACTGTGTATATTTGCCTTTGCAAGTAAATGTGTGCACGTGTAGGATCTGCATGCGCGTAAGCACATGTATTGGTGCGTTTGCACTTGTGTGTGGCTATGTATGTGTGCGTGTGCACGTCTCTCCGTGTGCAAGCACTTGCACGGGTGTGTGTGTGTTTGTGGGCATGCATTCCAGCTGTGTGTGTACATATGTATTTGTATATCTCCAGTATTTAGGTGTGTGCATGTGTGCGCCCTTATACACACAACACTCTATGTATGTGCATTTGTGGGCATTCGTGTACGTGTGCATTTGTGTGCGTGTGTAATGGTGCGTGTAAGTTCACACACGGCTGTACGTGCAGACAGTGTGTCCAGCGGCATTAGAGGGTCCCTCCCTGGACACAGGCCACGCTCTGAGCCCAGCACAGGCAGCGCCCACGAGGACACCCGTGTGGGTTCTGCTCCCACCACACCCACGTTCGTCACTTGCGAGGTTTTCGAGGCCGAGGAATCGTGCGGCCACGGCCCTGGCACAGGGCCCTGGGCATCGCGCAGTGTTGAGAAACAGCCTTGATGTCCACATGGGTGGCGGCTCATCGCCGTTTGTGCAGAGGAGGGAGGGGGGGCTCGGTGAGGTGGACGCCGTCTCCAGACGGAGGAACAAGGAGGCGGCGGAGGCTCCGACTCACGACCGCCAAGCCCCACGCCCGGTCTGGCTCGCAGAGTTCGCGGGGTCCTCGGAACTGGCTGCTCGTCATGCTGAGGCGTCACGCGGGTGCCTGGGGCCTGCGTCTGCCTAGTCGACGACCATCGGCTGGGACAGGCACGTCTGACGCCGGTCGTCCCTTCTTGCGGTGGCCTCTGTTGCGTGGGCCGCAGAGGAAATTCCCAGGAGACGGAGACTTTGCTTTCGACGCACGTGGGGCCGAACGGCTGGACTGGCAGGTGTCGCCTTCCACTGGGGCCCGTTATCGGATCATCTAGCGAGGAGGAGCCGAGGGCAAGCAGTGTCTGATCTCCGGAGGGCTGAAGGCGTCCTATGCGCTCCACGTCCGGTCTGCATCTCCCAGGGGTGCAGGAGGCCGTGCCGGCACGTGTGTGCGTCTGGTGAGGACGGTGACGCCCTGTGCGAAGGGCGAGTTCAAGGTCACTCGGGGAACCATCCAAGGTCATCTGCGCAAATCCTCGGCATCAACGGCTTCGTTGGCGAAAGCACATTTCCACTACCGCAGCGCACATGTCACCGCTGGGGACGGCCACGTCCCGTGCTCCAGAAGCATCCGAGGCATTCGGCGCTCAGCCGGGCGTGTGGGGATGGGCTGGCCTGTGGTGGCTGAGCCAAATGCTCTGGGTTCTCGTGATGACTAAGCTGCTCTCCTGTGACGTGCGGAACACGGTCACGGTTTCTGTATTTTAAAGCCAAATGTCCGGACCCCGCCCTAGGAAGCCCTTCGAGCTGCTGACGACATATTCCCCAAACAGGTGACGCGAGCTCAGGGGCGTCTCACGGCGAAGCACCGTGACTGCCTGGGCACATCTTAAAACGGACACAGAGTCACAGCAGCGTGCGCATGGCCACCCCCGTTCACGTGCACCCACGGAACCGTGATATCTCCCTCCGCCGACTCCTGTGAGGCACGTCGACGGCCCTGGAGGACGAGAGCAGCGGACGTGACCCCGATGCTGCTCTGACTCGGCGTGGAGGAAGGACGCAGCGCAGGTCCAGGGCGGCCGGAGCCGAAGACGCCGAGGCGGGCAGGCGGCGGGCAAGAAATGCGGGCGCGGCAGGCGTGAGCGGCCTGGACCC